TCTGTGTTTGCACTTCCCATGAGACTAATAGGTGGAGCACCTTCAAATATATTTAATCAGCCACTTAGCCCCTTCTGTAAAGTGCTCATCCATCAACATTTTTGGCCCATTTTAGAAAATCAGTTACCTGTGCTTATAAAAGTTATTTTTCATTAATATATGAATCATATCTCTTTATTGCAAATATATCATTTTTGATGATGTGGTTTGTAATTTCATACTAATAACATCGTTAATGAAAAGAAGTTAATTATGAATATGCGCTTCTTTATAGGTAGGCCTTTTGTGTTCTGTAAGAAATATTTGCCTACTCAGAATCTGAGAAAAGACCAGTATGTGGGTGGGTTTCGTTTCCTTGATGCTGTTTCATGGTCTTTCAGCTTTTGTCATTTCTGTGAAAGGCAGCTGACAAAGCTGTTATTGTTGTTGAAGTGATGTGTCTTTTTCTTCTGGTGCTTTAAGATTTTTCTTCTTGTTTTTGGTGTTGAGCAGTTTTGCCATGATGTGTGTAGGTGTGGCTTTACCTGAATCTTATCTGTTTAGGTCCCATAAGTGGCTCCTGAATCTGTACCTTGATACCTTCCACTGGTTTGGAGTAATTCCTGACCATAATCTATTCAAATAATTACATATGCCCCATTTTCTTTTCTTTTGGGGACTCTTATTTCCCCAAAGGTAAACATTTTCATCTTGTCCCATGTTTCCTACATTTTAAAATTATTGTCTGACTTCAAGTTTTCATGATTTAATGTAGTTATTTTCTGTTTTTAATCTTTCTCTTCACTATTCCTCTCATTAGATGTATTTAGTCTACTTTCAATGTAATCTACAATAATCTTTTTAAGGTTGTTAATTTTAGTTATTGCATTTTTCAGTTTTAAACATCCATTTGATTAATAGTGTCTATGTGATCTATTTTTTAATGTATTAATAAGAGGTATAACACAGCTTGTGTCTGAGACAGTACTATGTCCACCATTTGTGGACTTCTGTAGAGGGGATAGTTGGGATTGAGCACACTGCCTTTGGACTGAGCTCCATCCTCAAACATTTAAATGTACACTGGCCTCATAAAAACAAACAAAAATTATCTTGTATTTTCCAAGTGAGGAAAAAAATGGTAAACGAGAAGTATACAAAATTGCTGACACCAAAGAGGGTAGGAATAGGGAAAGAAGGGCAGAAAGCTGTAGTGACAGACTTTGGGGGCTCTGGTTAGAGGTGATCTTGGCCTTACACAGGTAAGAAATAGGAGCCGAGATTCATGCATAAAATGAGTACTCTTGAAAAGCTGCATCCAAGAGAGAGAAAACTGAGAATTCTAGATATTTTTCCTAGACACTGGTTTATGCCACTTGAATGGTACAGTAATCCTAATCCAATAAAGAACTTTAAAACATATCCCAGGCAGTTAATACTCCAAAGCTGCATGCCACAAATAGTCACTCTTGGAGTTGTCTGTCCACCCTCCTAGTGCCTCCTTTTAGTTTGAGGACTGGATTGAGCCCATGACAGGATAGGGCATATTGGAGAGAAAATATGGAACCTTGTGCCAGTTTGCTGCTACTTCTGATTCTGAGACTTCCCCCAATCTGCTTGAGATTTACTTGGCAGAGTCTTCAAACAGCTATTCTGTCCAGGTTTTACAGCTATATTCCAGGGTCAGAGAGAGGTCAGAGAGCACGTACTCCACCTTGTAAGACCCAGAATAATGATCATATTAGTAAAAACATTAAATTTAAAACATAGGAGATTTCAAGAAATGAAAAAAAATAGAGTATAAAAATAAAAATCCACTCAAGCCATGAGCTAAATTGGGAATTAGATACAACTGAAATCAGAACTCTGATTTACAGAAATTACTCCGTATGCAGTGCAGATACAGAGATGGAAAATGTGTGAATAATTAAGAGATGTTGAAGATAGAATAGAAGATTCAGGATATTTCTGTGAGAAATTCTAGTTAAGATGGGAGGAGGCAATAGATAGAGATAACAATTGAACATGTTCAGGTTCTATGACATATTAAGTGTTCAGATACATGTAACTCAAATTTCAAACAGAATGTAGTAATTAGAGGTGCATACTGAGTTGCACCACCAAAAAATTGAACCACGAATAAGGATGAATATTAAGGCAACAAGAGAGAAAAGAGTGCATTCAAAGGAATTGAGGGCATAGAAAATGTGTCAAAAGGCTGGGAGGATCCTGATCAGCTTCAGTGTATAAATCCAGCTAAAATAAAGATCAGAAAGTCAGTTAGACAAAGATTGGGTTTACCACTTAGATTGTTACAGATAGATTAATTCAAGGATTTGCTAACAGCAGAAGGAACTTAAACGTAGAACAAAGAACATAATGTAAGTGGCACTGGTGGAAAAGAAATTAATATTAGGAAATGAAAAGAGAAACATATATAGCAGTTATTTAAAATATAAGAGAGGGCCGGGGTGTAGCTCAGTGGTGCCATGCCTGCTTGGCAAGCGCAAAGTCCTGAGTTCAATCACTGATTCCTCAGTGAATAAATAAATAAATAAAGTAGAAGAGAATAAAATAAAACAACTTTATGGTGATACATTGTGAAACTGGGAAAATGGCTAATCTCATAGAAAAACACAAATTTCCAAAATTGTCTCAACAAGTATAAACTTAAATATATGAAGGAATTTAAAAAGAAATCCCAGACCCATTTTATTTTCTCTTTTTGGTGAGGTCTGATAAACTTTTGTGAAACATATTTTCTTATTACAGTTCAGTGACTAAAATAGAGCTTTCTTAATCATTTTTATGAAGCTACTATAGCATTAATAACAATACAGAACCATTTCAAAAGTTATAAGCCAATACTATTCATGAATATAATTCAAAACTACCAAAAAATGTATAAACCAATATTTTCAATTTATTGAAAATAATTATAACCAAGTTTTATTTATGGTAAAAAAAATGAAAAAAATTGTAGCATTTAAAAATCTATCACATTAACAGATCAAACTGGAGAAACCATGTGAGCATCTCAACAGATGAAAAAAAAAGCACTGACAAAATGAATCACCCATTCATGAAAAAGTACCTTAGAAAATGATGAATAGAAGGGAGCTTCCTTAATCTGATTAAAACATCAACAACAAAAAAACCTGCTATATTCTTGAGAGTTCATTTGGAGGTTCTGGCAGAGGGTGCAGCTTCTCGGATCCCCTTGACCAAGGAAACCTCCACTGCCCTCCTCTATGGGGGGACCTAGCACTCAGCTTCGAGAGGGCCATGAGGGCCAGGAGGGCGGCACACAGAGCAGTGAGGGGAGGGATGGAGGGAGGGGACGCGGCCTGGCCAGACCACCGACCGAATCAATCCTGGTGATCAGTTGGGTGACAGATGTCACAGCCAGAAGCCCTCACATCCAAACTGCTGTATGCTATGGCAAACACTGTACTAAACAGTAAAATAGAAACATTCCTTTTAAAATCGGGAACAGAAAGCGCTTCCTTCAACTGCTCCTTCTATTCAGGTATGGCCTGTAAGAAAAGACAAAAAAATAAAAAAGGAGTAGAAAGGAAAAAAAAAAGTCTTTCAGACTTGACATGATGGTCTACATAGAAAATACTCCTGGCCAAAATACAAATAAAATACTTAAATTTCAGACGTCCCTTCATGCATGCGGTCCACAGCTTTGCTGTGTGGTCTCCATCTGCGCCTCAGGCCGGCTGGGTGCTTGGGACCTAAGGGACCACCTCCCTGGAAGCAGCAGGCTCTCGAGAAGCGCTGCGGAAGATCAGGGCCTGACTCAGTTCCACTGAACGCACTTGGCCAACACTTGCTGTGCCCTACAAGAGGAAGGAAAGATCTGAGGTCTAAACACTGGAGAAATAGGTGGCTTGGCCTCTTAGGAGCAGGCACTAGACATATCCACATTTTCTGCCCCACGGGGCTCAGGAGGGAGTGCTGGGCACCATGAACTGGGATCAGCTACAGAGTGAGGTAATAATGCATTTGCCCCTGGAGACCTACCTGGTAACTCTGTGGGCTGAGATACAGCATGTTAGCTGGATGCCTCAGAGAGGGGAAGATGGTTTTCAGGTGTTGGCACTGTTACACAGCAGGCTTTATGGGAAGAATATTAATAGCCCTAAAGTTGTACAAATAAACCAAGGCTGCCACGGCACTTGTTTGTCTTTGAAGATGAGACCATCAGAAGACAGAAGTTATTCAAAAGTATTCACAAAAGAAGAGTGAGTCCATCTTCGCATTAGTGCAGGCTGCTATAGCCAACACACCATAAGCTGGGGGCTCAAGCTATAAACTTTACGTATTTCTTGTGTTAAGGAAATACATCTAAGATCAGAGGGCAGCATGCTCAGGCTCTGTGAGAGTCCTCCCCCTGGTTTGCAGATGGCTGTCTTCTTGCTGTGTCCTCACAACATGGACAAAGACAGAAGAGAAGCAAGCTGTCTCATGCATCTTCTTCAAAGGGCACACATCGCATGGTGAGGGCTCTGCCTTCCTGACATAATCATCTCTGAATACATTAGGGATTACAGTTTCAGCAGATGAATTGGGGGTCACAAACAGGCCATCGCAGCCCTACAAGGATGAGTCCTAGTTGGGTTACTTCTTCTGATCAAATGTGGTGTAGATTTTTCTCCATTGTTTTTCTACATTATTACATGTTTTCTAGGTGATTTAAGCAGTGTTAGTTTCCCCTATTTCTGTTTCCTCCCCCTTACCATTAACTTGGTCCCACATTTGGGATGTGGAGTATGGATGAGTTTTAATTTTGGTCCTAGAGAAGATATGAACATTAACTGTAGAACAATCCTTCTGAAGTGCTTCTTTTGATGTTCACATGTAACCCAGTGGTGGGATAGTACAATTATTGTAAGAATGTTCTAGAGTAACTTACCATAGTTAAATTCAGTCTTTTCTTGTTGCTTTAATTAAATTAGACTTTGAAAGTCAATCACCATTCTTTTTTTCTTTTTCTTCCCCACCCCCCACCCTAGCACAGGGATCGAACTCAGGACCTTGCACTCGCAAGACAGGCACAGTGCCACTGAGCTACATTCCGGCCTGTCAGTCAATTACACTTCATAGCTAAGGTTGGTTGGGGTCTGGGATGCTGACCAGAGACTAAGTATGTTGAATTTCTTCTACAGAAAATGTGGGTAGTTCCAGATCAGATAAAGTAGCAATTTCCCAGGAACTTAACTCCCTTTGTAACAGAGCAAACCACTCTTCTGGGAAATAATTTTTATTTCAATAGCTGATAATTTCTGAGTAATTGTCTTTAATTGGCTGTTATTCTGTTAAATTGAGATGGTCATTTTGTTCAAAACTGGAAAATGTGTTCAGGATCTTGGGAAAACCTCTAGGAAGCCAGTCAAAGACTTTATAGACCTCATCTACTTCCTTTTGTTTAGAACATGGACCATCCACCAGCTGCCTCTTAGGCCAGTAATTCCAGTTCTCTGTTGCATAATGCAAGAAAATAGAAAAAGATCAACAGAGAAATGTTCGTATTGCATAAAATATTTTACTGAAGGTCCAAGAAAGGCCTGAAAATGAAGCCAGAGGGACATTAGTAGTTATTCCCACCCAAGAACTTCTTAAAATGATCACAGTTCTTAGAGTGCTCTACAACTTTTGTATTCAGCTTTTCAAGGTGAAAATCATTTCAATGGATTTCTGATTACAAAGGTAATCAATGTTTACTGGAAACTTTCTTTAAAACTAAAAATATAAGCCTTTCTCTTAAATTCTTAGTTCCCTCAGATTTAGCTAATAACCTTGCCTCTGAGGTGATTTCTTTTTTTCTTCATTTCTATTTTATAAGTATATAATTAGTAGGTAATTCTCTTGTGGCCAGAAAAAAAATTCTAATTACTTGAAGTATATAAACTCAATGGACAGTGGTTCTGGTAAATTTTAAAAGCTTCACATCCTAGTAGATGGGTGGCAGGAATAACCACAGAAGGACTAAGTTTATGTGGTGGGGGGTAAGTTGCTGGGAACAACAAAGCATCTTCTAGGAATTCTTTTTCTTGGGCATTGTGATCTCAGGCCATTACATTTTTTTATATGGATTCCTTCAGTGCACTTGTTTTTGGCCTCTGATCTCTATCCTCACATTCAGTGTTAAATCTGTTTGATTCTAGAACCATTTTTATGACTTCACTCGTAACATATAAGACCTTTCAGGGGTGTCTGTTGTTTGTCTTACCAAGTCACCCTTGCTGGGCACCAGTGGGCCCCTGCCTTGCTAGCTTATTCTCTCACAAATTCACTTTCTTCCGATTCCTGTGTGTCCCATGCTTTTAGCCTCCTTGTTCTGTAGCATAGGCTATACAATCTTACTCTAGTCTTTCAACAACTCAGTCACAATGGCCTGATTAAAACTCACACTTTTCATTGATTTATGATTTCCATTTTACAATGTATTCTGTCTTTTCCTGATATGCATCTGCAAGTTAGTTTGCTAACTGACCTGAGTCATTTCATAACTACCATATATTTGGAGATGGCTCTCTATAAGAACTGTATATATAATCATTTGAAATACGAGGTCCATGGAATAGATCCTTGCTCAGAAATACAGAATGGAAAATATTGTACCAACTGGTTCAAGCCAGGTGTTCTACCATTAGAGGTCCACCAGTTTGGGTAGCAACCCATCATCTTTCCAAATCTCAGTAACTTGGCTATGGATACTGCGGGATTGAAAATTGAGTAGGACGACTCCTGACTAGGAGTAGGATGTGTTAGAAAGCAGCAAAGAATAATGAAAGGAGAAACACTGGCTTTGGAGTCAGCCCTATGCTCAAATTCAACTAATAATTAATTACCTTATCTTTTCCACTTCCTTGTTTAAAACAGAAATTATAGCTCAGAGTGCTATTATGAGTATTAAATGAATAGTAAAGGGCTATTATGGTTTGATAAATACTAATTATCATTGTTGCCTCCAAGTAAGACTTTCTGCCTATGCCATAGGAGGTGGTTAGCAAGTAAGTGAAATATCACAAGCCATAAAATACTCTTACATGGAGAGACAGTTTCTTATGTGGAATTAGCTGGAATTCTTTAAGTGCCAGTTTATTTCATATTTGGCAGTTGATTTGCTTTCTAAGGAAAAACCTTAAAAACGATTGAAAATTGTTTCCTTAGCCAAAGACCTCAGCAGTGCACCGACCAAACCCAGACATCCACACGATGCTGCAGTGTTACAAAGGTACAGTCCCAGGGCCAAGCACTTGTGAACTCATACTGCAGAACAGCTCCTGAGATCACAGTCTCGGCTTTGGAGGAATTCTCTTAGAGACACAGAATTTTACTATTCTTTTTAGAAAACTCCATTTCAGCACCCCAGATAGGTGTCTAACTTAGGGTTGAATCAGATCATCATGTCGTAAGCCATCACTAGCAGTCCTCTTAATTAAATGCAAATCTCCCTGCAGGGATTTTCCATTGGTTCTAGCAGTGCCTCCACAGCAAAGTAGAATCTCTTACCCAACAGACTCCTTACTTAGATATCTGACTCTCCTTTAACTTCTCCACAATAAATATCCTAGTGTCTTTAAGTATATGTGCCAAGTATTAGCTTTGATTTTAAAATTGTGAACTGGTAAATATATGAAAAATCCAGAATTCCAGGGGGAAACTGAACTATTTTGATCAAATCAGGACAGATTGTTTTTAACAATCAGGGCAGTGAGTCATTCTAAAAGGCACATATGCCCTAAGTAAAAAAAAAAAAAAGAAAGAAAGAAAGCACTATAATTTGAAATTTGAAATAATAAATTTTGGAGCAATGATTGTTGCAATATTTATGTTTTTTCACAATATCTTTTAACCATTTTATTTACAAATAAATAAAATTGGCCCCACGTTAAGGCCAGGTAATCTGACAATCTGTCTTTGATCCTGGGAAATGTTAATTAAGCAATAGGGCGTTCACCACAGAGTGATGTAGGCACATGAGACTCAGACACCTGCCTGGGTTCAGGAACAACTGGGAGTAGCATGGAGGGTGCAGAAAGTTTATAGGAGAAAAGGATGAGACTGTTTTCACACCTACAGCTCATTCTCCATCAAGAAACACGTTTTGGTGGCTTGGCTGCAGAAAGAGTTAAAGCACCAACACACACTTGTGCTTCTGGATCTGATCTTTAAAGCTTTGCATCCTAAAACCCTCGTCTGGGGCCTGATATGAAAATACATCTGTCGCCTACCAAGAAAAGATATCTGGCTCTCTCAGCCAAATCTAAATAAAATCTTTGCACATGCAAGAGAACTGCACTATTTTAAAGAAACCATCTTAGCCTGAATATGTTTAGAAAAACCACACACACACAAAACCTGGATCAGTGAAAAAAATATGTGTAGGAGTAACTATGTTTTTCTGTAACCACTAAAAGTTTTTCTTCCTCTACACCGGTTTACTATGAGAAATGAGGAAGTGGGATGTCAAAGTGAGCTTTCTCATAGTACACACCTAACTCTATCAGTTCACATCAAAAGCGGTCTTCTTTTCTGTCTCCTCAGCTGAGTTAGCCTTTGCATTTTCTTTCTCCTGCCCCGTTGGCTTTGGCTTCTTTTTCTGAACCTGAGAGACTTTCTGGGTTAGGGTGGGGAGGGATGGGCGGGAAGAGTATCTGTCTATTCTTTGTAAATCTTTTCTATGATTTTCAGCCTTTCTTGAACAGATGTCTGGCTATGCCATCCATTGTGTGGATGAACATTCACTGGCCAGGGCTCAACATTCCCTTATCAGAAAACAAATTCCGGGGTGCTGGGAGGAGCCCTAGGCAGAGGGGAGCCCCGGGGTGCAAAGCGCTGACAGGGTCTGGGTCATCACCTCCCTGTGTGGGGTCCTCAAGGCAAGGGCTTCCCTCCCTGCCTGCAGAGGAGCCTGGAGCAGAAATGCAAGATGAGGTGCTCTGTGGTTAGGAGGGAGAGCACAGAGGGCTATGAGAGCCGCACTGAAGGGGGGTGGGGGGCGCCGTGTGGGATCGCTGTGCCTCCAGCCTGCACCGGGGAGGACAGACTGGAATGGGTGGCACAGCCCCTCCTAGCAGACCCACGCCGGGCTTGCCTTCGCTGGAGCTCTGTGCTCCCCGTGGCCCGCGCCACTCAGACCAAAGGCTCTCTGAGAAAGGTGGCCCAGCCTGGCCTTGAACTGAGTGAAAGGCAGGTACGTCCGGGCGCCTGGCTTCTTTCCCGGTGACCAGAGATTCACCTACTTTTCCCTTCTGTCCTGGTAACTTGGAAAAGAAAAATCCATTTCTCTTCTCCTCCAGAAGACATCACCTGTCTCTCAGTGTGGAACCCAGGGCTCCTAAGGGTGATTCCAGCAGCAGCTTACAGAGTGCTAATGCTGGGGCAGGGAGACGGAAGCAAATGCTAAGTGAGGAAGCAGGCCTGAGGGGAGGCCTGGCATCTGGTCATATTTGGCATGGCGTCCTGAAGTACAGAGAACCAAATATTTGTCCTTAGAATAGGGGTGTGTGTGTGTGTGTGTGTGTGTGTGTGTGTGTGTGTGTGTGTTTGGCGCCACACTGGATGACTGTCAGGATATACCCACTTCGATTCTATTAATCACATCAACCCGATGAAACATTAATTCTGGGCTACTAAATATGTATACAAAAGCTACCTTAGCTAATTGAAGCATAGGAAAAACTCAAAGTATTGCACACTTGTTCCGCAGGCCCCCACTGCGCGGCTGGCTGCGCCTCCCGCTGTCCGCAGCCCGCCTGGCTTAGTTCCACGCGCCCGCGAGGGGTCGGGGTGACGGATCCCGCGCT